AGGAATTTTCTAAAGAAAACTAAATAATAATGATGACAAGCCTCCCAGGTATCTGTCATGTGAAAAAAGGTATCATAACATGTTATATACAAAATTAAGGGAACAACTGTATTTTAAACTATAACTTATAAAGATGCAACATTATAACAATCCAAACTGTTCTTGTGGATATAAGAAGGATAGTCATCATTTTTTCTTTGAGTGTGGAAAATATCTAGAATCTAGAAGTTTAATGTTGAATTGTTTACTTTTTGTTAAAAATGTTAAATGTACATACACTACTTTGGGGAGATGAATCATTATCTTTGCAAGAAAATGAAAGAATATTTGGTATTGTTCAAAATTTTATTCGGGATACTGGTTGTTTCAATAAACAATTATTTGTATTTACGACCTCTTTTGAAACTATGTATGTATGTTTATTGTCGTCATTATAAACAAATATTAATTGATATTTTTGGCAATAATACCTATTGTTTTTGTTCTTCTACGTTCATGTATATAATTGAAAAATTGTAAATCTTTGTAAATATTGCATGGCTTTTGATACTTTATGTATGGGAGAGGACTATCTAAGTTTTTGGAACTTGTGTCCAATCCCATTGACATGTTGTCAGTAAAATATGTTCAAATCAGGAGTTTGATTGAAATTGGCCCAGTTGTTCTTGAGAAGAAGATGAAAATGTGAAAAGTTTACGAGGACGCCAACAACAACGGCGGAAGAAAACGGACACATTTTGATCAGAAGAGCTAACTGGAGCCTCGGGTCGGCATAGGTGAGCTAAAAATGTGTTTACATGATGATTGCTAATAAATAAAGATGAAATAGAATACTAGTATATTTCTGGCTATAATTTTACCAAGCATCGCACTGTTTTCACAATGAGATATTTTTTATTCACGTAAATGAAATAAAGTAAATAAAGATTGCCTTTTAATGGAAATTAAAGCAGACTTAATTATTACAAATTTCATCTTTTAACATGCTTAATACCGTCGTAACGGTGAAAATGTGGGTCATGTTTGAAATGATAAATAAAACCAGAAGTCTATTTCGAGACTGTAGCTCTACTGGTTTGTACGTATAACAAAGGAGGAGAAAAGTAGCAGCTGGGACTTAAAACTTTACAAAAGCAATAAATAAAAAAATATGATCCTTGCTTAAGTCTCTTTTTGTGGAAAGATTGCAATAAGACCACAACTGTAGGAGTAGCTTTTAATAAAATTTTACAGAAATTTTAATTTTAGTTACCATGGCAACATCAATTATCAAAATCAAAACCACAAAACTGATAATTATGTATCTCAGTGTAGTTTACTTGCACGCCAAATTATATTATAATCAGACCAAAACTGTGGGAGGAGTATTTCACAGAAATTTCTATTTTTAGTAACCACGGCAACACAGTCATCGCAATCAAAAACCGATAAACAGAATAATGTATCTTAGTGTAGTCTACTTGTGTGGCAATCAGACCAAAACTGTAGGGGGGTAGCATTGTAAAAGTACATGTATTTACCAGAAATTTCTAGTTTAAGTAACCACGGCAACACCGTTCATCGTAATAAAAAACGACAAGAGGCCCATGGGCCACATCGCTCACCTGAGGACTGTGGCTAGAAGAAAGTAGAAATTGGTTTATTATTGAATAGTTTAAATCCAAAAGTAGCCCCATCCCACTAATGGCTGTGCTATTCTTGATAAGATGATTTTTATAAAAAGTTGTCCTATATATGTCTATGTAAAACTTTGATTAGCCATTTTGGCCCCGCCCTACCCCTGGGGGTCATGATTTGAACAAACTTGAATCTTCATTACCTGAGGATGCTTCCATATAAATATAATCAATTATGGCTTTGTCATTCTTCAGAAGAAGATTTTTAAAGAATTTTCCTATATATTTCTTTGTAAAACATTGGTCAGCCATTGTGGCCCCGCCCTACCCCCGGGGGTCATGATTTGAACAAACTTGAATCTTCACTACCTGAGGATGCTTCCATACAAATATAATCAATTAAAGCTTTCTTTGTCATTCTTGAGAAGAAGATTTTTAAATAATTTTCCTATATATTACTATGTTAAACTTTAGTCGGCCATTGTGGCCACGGCCTACCCACGGGGGTCATGATTTGAACACATTTGAATCTACACTACCTGAGGATGCTTCCATATAAATATAATCAATTATGGCTTTGTCATTTTTGAGAAGAAGATTTTTAAAAGAATTTTCCTATATATATTTCTATGTAAAACTTTGGTTGGCCATTGTGGCTCCGCCCTACCCCCGGGGGTCATGATTTGAGCAAATTTGAATCTTCACTACCTGAGGATGCTTCCATATAAATAAAATCAATTATAGCTTTCCTTGTCATTCTTGAGAAGAAGATTTTTAAAGAATTTTTCTATAATTATTTCTATGTAACAATGTGGTTGGCCATTGTGGCCCCGCCCTACCCCCGGGGGTCATGATTTGAACAAACTTGAATCTTCACTACCTGAGGATGATTCCATATAAATATGATCAATTAAAGCTTTCTTTGTCATTCTTGAGAAGATGTTTAAAGAATTTTTCTATATATTTCTATGTAATCTTTGGTCGGCCATGTTGGCCCCATCCTACCCCGGGGGGTCATGATTTGAACAAACTTGAATCTACACTCCCTGAGGATGCTTTCATATAAATATGATCAATTATGGCCTTTGTTATTCTAAAGATTTTCAAAGAATTTTCCTATATATCTCTATGTAAAACTTTGGTCGGCCATTGTGGCCCCGCCCTACCCCCGGGGGTCATGATTTGAACAAACTTGAATCTACACTACCTGAGGATGCTTCCATATAAATATAATCAATTATAGCTTTGTCATGATGTGTTCCCATAGGTTTCATCTTTCCTGGCACAGTGGTTCTTGAGAAGAAGATTTTTAAAACCCACCAAATTTTCATTAATTCCCAATTATCTCCCCTTGAATCAAGGCGTGGCCCTTCATTTGAACAAATTTGAACCCCCTTAACCCAAGGATGTTTTGTGGCAAGACTGGTTGAAATTGGCCCAGCGGTTCTTGAGAAGAAGTCGAAAATGTGAAAAGTTTACAACAACGACGACAGACAAGGGACAAATTGTGATCAGAAAAGCTCGCTTGAGCCTTTGGCTCAGGTGAGCTAATAAACAGAACTATGTATCTTAGTGTAGTCTACTAGTGTGCCAAGGTATACTGAAATCAGACCAAAACTGTAGGAGGAGTAGCATTTTGAAAAATTGTTTACAGACAGACTGACAGACGGACGGACGACAGACGCATTACCATTGCATAAGCTCCTCTGGTCTCTGACCAAATAGAGCTAGAAATGATCACACCAAAATTTCCCAGACAGATCACCACTTCTGAGAATGAATAAGGTTTAAGACCCCCCCCCCCCAAAAAAAAAAAAAACAATAGGTCCATGGGCCTTATAGGACACCTGAGTATCATGTAACAACTTTCCAACTATTGAATTTGGTTGTTTTAAACCCGAGGCCATGAAATTCTGAAAATTTGGAAAGAGGCACCATTGCTTATCATAATTATAAACTAAGCATGCTTCCTCTATTTCCTTAATACCAAGAGGTAGATCAGAATAACAAAGAGAAAATGCACTTTCACTTTATACCCAGTTGTGCACCCAGAAGGAACCACTGACCCTGGGGTTACATATGTCAAAATTTTGGAAATTTGGAAATTTTATCATAAATTTTATTTCATCATAAATGGTTGATTGATACCAAAGAGCAGATTTCAGACTATGTACCACCCCCCTCGATACCTCTGACCCAGAGGGCAGGAAATTAACCATTTTGCTAGATGCACCTAACTTCATCATAAATATATAAACTTGGATCATTAGCATAATATCCAGGAGCAAAGAAAACGATTTTCAAAGATTTTCAATATATAATCAAAAGAGCCCCACCCCCCTTACACCAAATGGCAAAACCCTGAAATAAGGGTCATGAAATTCAGAATGTGGCATTATAACTATATACTAAGTTAGTTTACTTAATACCCAGAAGCAGAGAAGACAATTTTGAATTGTCACTATATAATCAATTGAATTTTCACTATATAATCAATAGAGCCCCGCCCTAACACCAGAACCCCTAACCTTGGGGCCATAAAATTCATAATTTTGGAAGAGGCACTCTTCCTCATCATAACTATGTACTTACATGTAATTAGTTTTTTAGTACCCAGAAGCAGAGAAGAAGATTTTCTAAGATTTAATGCATTTTTACTATATAATCAATAAAGCCCCGCCATAGCACAAGAACCCCTGACCCTGGGGCCATAAAATTCACAATTTTGGTAGAGGCACTATTGCTCATCATAACTATGTACTTATTTAGTCTATTTAATACCCAAGAGCAGAGAAGATAATTTTCAAAGATTTAATGCATTTTCAATATATAATCAATAGAGCCCCGCCGTAACAACAGAACCCCTGACCCTGGGGCCATAAAATTCACAATTTTGGTAGAGGCCATCTTGCTCATCATAACTATGTACTTAATTAGTTTATTTTATACCCAGGAGCAGAGAAGAAGATTTTCAAAGATTTAATTCATTTTCAATATATAATCAATAGAGGCCCGCCCTAGCACTAGAACCCCTGACTTTCACATGACATGAATTTCACAATTTTGGTAGAGGACTCAATGCCCATTACATACACATCAACAGTTTGCCTGCTTCATGTCCAGGAGTAAAGAAGAAGATTTTTAAAGATTTCATTAATTTTAGTGGTTTTGGCCCCACCCCTCAGGCCCAAGGGGGTGGGGGGCAGGGATCATAAAATTCACGATTTTTGTTCCCCTTTACCCATATATGTTGTATACCAACTTTGGTTGAAATAGGTTCAGTGGTTTCAGAGAAGAAGTTGAAAATGCTCAAATGTTAACACGACGACGGACGAAAACGGATAGCAATAGGTCACCTGAGTGACTCAAGTGACCTAAAAAAAATATTAGCATCCTTCTCTCTGAAAGAAGTGCTCTTCCATACTTTCTTTGCGGCGTATAATTCTTCCATTTGAATCATTAATTTTGTCAAATATCAGTAACATTGATTGTAGAAATATTTCATTTAAACCAACTTCTATGTATTTGTCTTTTTCTCGAAGATAATGCGTAAAAAGAGTCTCGTTTGAGCCAATTTCTATCAGTTTATCCGCAAGAGCCCTGGGTGAAGGGAAATCTAATGCATTTATAAATGTTCCGTTAGGTATGTATTCCACTGCATTTTTTGGTCCATTAATTACAGGAATAACATCTAAATTACCCAAAAATACATTAAATAATTTTTCTGTCGTGTAGTCTTTACAAATGTTATTTTCAAAGGCAAAATAAAATTTATAGTCACGAGAAAAATTTCGCAAGCATTCGTTTAGTCCTGCACTTCGAGTAAGACAAACAGCACTTCCGCAAGAACCGAACATATCGACCTGTATATATTTCTTTAAATCAAGTATGTAATCTTTACGACGAGACGGTACTGGACAATGCCCTGACATCCACACACCAAAATATTTCTTCTTCTGAAATATCTCCGTGTAATTCTTCACCAAAAGGGAGGTCCGTTTCTTAAGTAGTCCATAAGGTCGATATATGTCTGAATCTCTGCGATAAGACATCAACCAATCTAGATTATTATTCCATTTCTTGTAGTATTTCTTCATGAACATATCCGTTTCCATTGTGTTCAAAATCCAAATTTGACACTTTGATTTATTTGGTTGAATCTCATCCATAGTGTTATGTGAAAAAATTACTATATCACTCTTAGATAAATCTGTTATATTATGTGTAAAGATCCAATTTGGATGTTTATCACTCATTTTTAATTTTGTATAATTGAAGGCACTTTCTAAATAGGACGGGATGTTGTACCACAAAATTCTCCACTCCGTGTGGTTGGCTAAATTACAGCTTTTATAAGGAAGGAAAGGATGTCCATCCATTTTGTAAAATACTAATTCGATTATGAGGAATGCTAATCCAATAAAGATTAACAAAATGAAGATCCGAATGGAAACTCCCATTTCTTGAAACCTGAAAAAAGTATTCCTGATATCTTACTGTTTTTCTACTATGAAGTTGGTACAATGAAAAGAAATTTTATGAACATTTTTGAAAAGTTTTCAGAATGTTTATACTCAACTTTGTTAATCCTATCTAATGGTGTACAATCTGTTCACTGTCATTTCGTAGGAGAATGAAAATGTTTTAGCTAATGAAGTTTTAATTAGTCATTAGAATCTGTCATATTAGTATTTGTTCGTTTGCTTCTCTTTTAAGCTTAATACTGTACATGTATTGTTGATATTTAGAGCACGTGTATATTTTTATATTAATATATATTACATGTAAGCTGGCAAACCTAAGCTTGACCTTTTACCCTTTAATTAAGGGAGGTCCAGGCTTTCAAAAAATTCTGTCTTTTTATGAATACCTTCAATAACTCAGAAACTTACTACAAAGGCCATAAAACACATTTCTGAGTAAAACAACCTGTATCAGTGTATATACATTGTTCAATCTCATAGGGGTGTTCTGTGTAAACACAGAAAGTTAACAATTTCTTAATATTTTAGAAATACCTTATTCTTATAATTTACAACCAAAAGAATTAAGTAAAAAATGTTCCAATCTAGGCATCCAGTATTTTGTTTTTATCATCTTTTACATCTTCTGTATTAAGGTCTTTCAAAAAAACTACATGTATCATCCATGGATTAATCATTTCGGCTATAAATGGTAAAGATATATTATATAAACCTCTGATTGTTGTAAAAGCCTTAGATTTTTAACTAAATGTACATGTACATATGCATGTTTATCACATAAAATACTTTCTTTTTCAAAGATGTGTGATTTATTTCATTTTCAAAGTCCATCAGAAATTCAAAACTCGTAAGAACAGTTCATATTTGAAAATAAAAAGTTTACATTTATGTTTGTAGACAATCCCAAAACTTTTATAAATCAGTAATCTATGAAATTCAACAATTCAATGCAACTGTGTTAAAAGATTTTAATGTTGAAATCAATGATAGAAGAAAGGGATTTTTTCATATAATTTTCCTTTATAAAATGTATTTTATTATTTATACTTTTATTGTAATCGTTATGACCAGGGCTGGTTTTTTTAAGAGCTTTTTTATGATTATTTTATATATCACTGCAAAAAATTTACTTACAATTTTTTATTTAATCATAACAAATTTAAAATATCCTACAAAAGGATAATAAATGAAACAGTTCTGATTATTTTCCGTGACATACGAAAATGGGTTGATTTTTAAAGCTGTCATACCTTTCAATGTTTAATAATTTATCCGTCAGTTTCTAATAATTAGTGACTTCAACATTTCTTCTATATTTCTTACAACAAAAGCCTCCCCTTGAAATCACAAAAAAAGTAAGTTAAAATAAAGAAACATGGCCTACCTGTTCTTGGGATTGTCATTTGAAATTATTTGAAAAAGGCATTATCTAAAATCTTGATTGCACTTGGGGATGGGGGTTCTGTTATTTATCACTTTGCAAGGTAATGAGTTTGTGAAGTTCTTAAAACGAAAATTATGTATCATTCCAAAGAAATAAAATAATTATATTTGAAGTAATACTCCAGAGTGAAGATTTTCAATGATGAAATCAAATTTTCATACGATTGTTTGTTAGATACTTTAAATTCTTTAATTAAAAAAGTGATCTTCTGTGACAGTCTGTCAGAGTGTGACAGGATTTTTAAGATGATATCTTTTATAGAACAATATGACAGAATATCGGAAGTGCAGCAAAACTCCCCAAAACGAAGAGCATTGAATATACTTCTAAGACTGCTAGATAAAGCTGAGAGAGTAAATAACTTTTTTGCAAACAGATTTTCATAGCAGTTTGCTTTTGATGGCAGCATTTTTTGACAAGTTTGTGGTTAATGTACGTTTTATTTGTCAATTTTTTTTGCCAAACAGGTGATTGTTTGCAACAGTGGAGATACATGTACCATTGCCAATTTTATTGTTCTTTGTACTAAGGAAATATCCTGGTGATCCCCCCATAATTAACTATATTTGTGTTATATATTTATTGTAATTTTTAATAAATGACAATTCTCACTCAATATACATTGTCTGTGTTATAATATTTCAACTACAGTGATAGCCAAGCCAGATCACTATGATTACATAATACAGCATTACTGTAAATAATAGCTTTATGTGAAATATGATTGATAAAAGTCTCATTTTTTGTTTCAGTCTTATTGTGTTATTAGCGTTCCCCTTGAGAAAATAGTTTTTATTATACGTACTCAAATCACATGACACAAGATATCGTCTTTTCTCTGATTTAGAAGCTTGAGGATTTGCATACCTAAGAGCACCAAATTTTCTACCCTTAAATGTCCATCAAGTACATAAATGTAATATGCTGATATTAAATTAAAGCATTTCATAGAAGAAAAAGGATAAGGACTGCCCGCGAGAAAGTTTCAAAAATGTCACTAAGCATTAATTATTTAAAGATTGCATTAAAGTCTATGAGGAAAAGCATTTTTTTTAAATGAAAATTCAAACAATATCATTAAATACTTCGGTGGAAAGATGCATTGAAACATTAGAAATAGAATGACAATTTAAATAATTTTTGCCCTGATAATGTTTCTTTAACATTGATTTTTTATTAATTAAAAATAGAGGGAGATAACTCTTACCAAAATTCAAGGTCATAAATTAGGACACATTCCACCCTAAATGCTACTAGTAATAAATGGGATTTATGTCTAAATGTACAGAGTATTTAACATTTACACATTTGCTATGTATTCAATTTCATTGAATCTGTTGTTATTAGAGATTGAATACCTTAAATAAGTTAACAAAATTGTTTTGAAAATTTTACCCACCCTCCATCCCCCTTCATACTCTATGATTAGAACATATTACATTGTAGTCCATTTATATTTGTAGTTTGTTTATCATGTTATTTATGCTTGTGCCGTCTAACATTGTACTTGTCATGTGGCAACTTTTTGTTTCGTCAACTTTATGGTTTATGTAGTTTATTTTTGTCAAAATATTGGCAGCTTTTTGTTTTGACAACTTCGTGGTTTATGCGCTTTTTATTTGTCAAAATATTTTTGCCAGACTGATGATTGTTTGCAACAGGGGAGATGCCATTGCCAATTTTATCGTTCTTTGTACTAAGGAAGTATCCTAGTAATCTCCCCTAAACTATATTTGTATTTATTGTCCAATAATAGAGGACAATTTTCACTTAATATTCATTGTCTTTGTTATATTTCAACAGCAGCAATAGCATAACAAGATCACTAGGACTGCCATAAAAATAATTCTGCCAAAATAGGTTGTTGAAATTCACATTTATGTATTTTTTTTTCTAATATCACGTCGTTACGTCCGTAATACCTACTAAATGGAAAGAATTTTGTTTTTATAGAGATTTTTTTTAACTTACCTGAAAAAGCGTGACTTCTTTCTGTACCAAATTTTATTGATACCCTATAACGAAACCTTTATTTGTCTATAACTACTACGGAAAGATGTGTGGAATATTGGGAGGACAAACGCCCTTCAATGAATACGTGTTTATCCATTATTTTAGTTTAAATAATGTTTGGCAAAAAACCCATCTTATTATCAAAACTATTTCATTTAATGTTTAAATTAAATAACAGTGTGACGGACAACTTCGGAATGGACATTTTTCCGAACTTGCGCACCCTTTTCCTTTAAAGCTATTCGCTTGGGATTTTTTTAATGGGGTTTTTCTTCTTAAATGCATTTCTGAAATAAAAAAAATGCAACATCTTATGCAAGTTTTGAAGTATTTAATGACAAAAATAAAAAAAAACCATGGGGAAACATGTACTTAAAATTACCCCATTGAAAACCCCACAGAAACCCTATGGGATTTAAAACAAAATCAAAATATATAAAATATAAAAGTTTATATATAATATGAAAATCAATGTAGATTTTTAAAACCCATATGTTGCTAACATTGTCACGTGGGTTTTTTTTTCTCCCACATTTCTTTATAATGGGGTTTAAAATCCCACATATTGATATTTTTATCATAAGATAATTCCTAAAAACTTGGGTTTTTTTTTCTCAGACTAATGGATCATTAGTATCTTCTCTGTTTGTCATTCTATAAAATTCTGTAAGTATATGCTTTACATTACAGTTATTGCATTATTTAGTCACAAGATATGCATTCAGGTTGATTATCCCCATTCAGTAAAAATGAATGGTTAAACCTTGAATGTCTAATTCTTCTTCTTAAGCTTGAAATAACATTGTCCTGACGTTTCAGGCGGTAGTCAGATAATTGATTAACTTTGTTTTTTTTATGGTATACAATTAATATTATCACAAAATCACAAAATATTTGCCAAAGAGAATTTATTTAAGTATTCAAAATGTTAATATTCAATTTTGTTCGTGAAGCTTTTACATGTATATTTAATTCGTTTATAATATTTGAGGTTTTATAAGAAAACAGAGATACATGTACCATGTTACTAGGAAAAGTAAGGACGTGTGTTTATTGTTTTTGTCTATACTTGTTTCTTTAATTATACAAAATGTTTCACATCGGGGCCTCCTTATTGGCAAGACAAATAATACCTCGGAGTTATCTATATCGATAGCAACTGTACAAAGTCCTTGTTCCTAAAAAAAAAATTTAACCTGATAAGATATAAATATATACATGTACATGAAGGAATGAGGAAGAAAATGTTTATCTATGGCGACCTAGCATAGGTAGCTTGATGAAAAAAATTCATTTATATAGAATTTGTCATAATATTTATGGGGAGTATATGGAAATAAATACATTCCCATACGATTTTATTACTATAAAACAATCAAAATATGCTAACATCTGTTTTAATTAGTTGCAATGGAGACCATCATTTAAATTATTTACATGTACAGTTTGTATATAGATTACCAGGGTTTGATGTCTTTCCTCCTAAATTGGTAGTAACGTGTCTTTAAACAGATATCTACATTTTAGCGGTATGTGATACAGAATACCCCTCATATTGATCCGATTTAAATACGAGGGTTGATCCAAAAGTAATGTAACAATTTTGATAACATTGATAAAAGCTGACGTAAATCAACAAAATTATAAATGATGGAAGCTATATTTATTTCAAATTATACTTTAAAAATTCAATGTAATATGATTTATACTTTCCAAAATATCGGATAATATACAACGTAAGTTTATGGAAGTCGCCGCACCAAAATAACGTCATATGACGGATACGCACCGTCATACATGTACTTTTAAATGTTTCCTCTTAGTTTCAATACTTGAGATTAACGAATACGTTAACAAATTCATTTTCTTTAAGAATTGTTGGTACCCTTCGTACACTCACTCTTTTCATATTTAAGTCCTCTGTCAAAATTCTTTGAACAGTAGCATGAAACAAACTTAAAATTTCACATGTTGCTCTAACCGTCTTTTTTCTTTTTTGACAAAGTCAGAAACCATTTCACGTTTCCGTCCGACCTCCCATCTTTCGGTCTTCGTGTCCTCTGCTGATCATTCAATGACCCATTACCCACCCAAAATTCCTGAAACCATGTATAAAGAAGTCTCTTATTAACATTCTTTCCTCTGTGAGTCTAACTCTCTATTGACGATTTCCCTATTTTGAACCAAAAATGCAAATACAGCTTGTCCGCGGCTTTTTTTGTTTCATCTCGACAATTCCTTTGTTTAATGCAACAGAGTAAAACAACATTGCGTATGATCACAAAAACTATTGTCGTCATTTAATTTTCAACTAAAAACTAGAACATGACGTGAGTTTTATCTTATTAGATAATTGGGCGTTTAAACGCTTTTTTCGAACTTTTTCAAATATATTTGTTTTTTTTTCATTCTAAGAAAAATACACAATAAAACGTGACGTTTAGTTGTGACGCGGTGACACCCTCTATGTTCTAGGTTTTAAAATCTATAAAATAAATTAAACATTATTAAATGAAAATTTCAATGTTAATAAGACTTATATATGTGCATCTTTGGTATATTATATTTGATAATATGACGCTAAATATAAAAGATATAGGCACTGTGACATTACTTTTGGATCAGCCCTCGTATGTATGTCAGCTCATAAAGAAGACAAATTCATAAATGATCTTGCTGTTTAGACAATGCAGGTGACACTTATCCTTGCGCTACATGCATCTCGGTTGCCATAGATCGAGAATTGATTCTAAATTGTTAAACTTCACCACTTAATTCTTTATAAATCAATTTATCCACACTTCTGTATAACGTTTTGGTGTAAATTTTGATATCCTGGTTCTCTCTCTTCAAGTTCCCCTGACACATTATCTTCTTTCTCAAACCACTCTTACATTTTAGGCAGAATCCAACTTAACTTTTAGATTATAAATTATCTTGTACACTGTCGTATGTTGGGGGCAAAATATGCCACCATAGAAAGGCAATGGAAACAGTTTCTTATTATACTTGCAAAAAAAAAAAATGGTACACGTCAGTCATCCATTCTATATAAAAAAAATTCACCGTGATCTTAAAAAAAATCTTTTTTAACCACATGCATGTATCTGACTCCTTTATATTTTGAAACTGGGTTAAAAATGTCCTGTAAGTGAATCTGTACAATTTTAATTTCCTGAATTGCATTGCTTTTTTCTACCCCGGACTCTATTTGAATTTTTGTAAATGACTATTTCTTCTAATATCCGATTTAGCAGAAAGTGAGTTGTGTTGAATGTAATGTCATCAACGAATCTTCGTCATTGTCTTGCAGTGATAGATATTTCGCTTAGCTTTATATTATGATAAGCATACCACAGATTGAGTATTTCCAAACAAAGAAAAATAATTTCATTGGTCATCTTTTTTTGGTTGACATCGCCAGAAAAACTGGCCAAAAATGACCCAATCTCCAGGAACCTATTATTTTCATGCAATTCGAAAAAAAAGATTTTAGATTCAGCTTAAATTTGATCTGAAATGTTCTTGGAAATCTCATTCTCAACTACATAGAGACGGTTTTTTTTTTATACCCGAATCGAGAGAAGGTAAACAAACCTGGTACCGCTTTTATGTATTTCTGTGCGTCGGAACTTTCAAATATTAATAAAAAGGACGTACTTGTATTTATTGTGTGTCTAGACGGTTTTTAACCCGTTTGACACTGGGGTCTGTCTCTATGTTTGCTTAATCGATCATACCCAGGCGATTATAGAGGGATTGCCCATGCAGAAAGATAAAAATTGAAGCAAAAAAGAATTAGAAATTCTACATGGTTATCACTAGTCGATATTAATATTTGCCTACGGTGACCTGACCAGCTGTTTTGTAAAACACTGATGACCCCGTAGGGCAGCATATAGCAAAGGTTGAAATTTCTTAAATGCAACTGCCAATTCTGATTCAAAGGTCAACTATAAAAAATGTTACCAAAAAATTGCCTCGTCTTATTGATTATACCTGTAGAAATATGAAAGCTCAAAAACTATTTAATGGTCAAAGTTAAAGGTAAAATTGCGTCAAATCCCAAGGTTAAGATCAAAATCAATGGTACAAGAAAAGCACATAAAATATATATAATCCCTAGCTCAAACAGTTCAAACCTTAGGGCCAAGAAGAAATTTTCAAAGGTAGGTCAAAATTAATGGTACCAAAGAAAAGTTCTTATCGTATAAAACATGTGTGAAAAACGAAAGCATTGTAATTTGGACTGTTCAAAAGATATGTCCTACGTTCAAGTTTTTAAAGATAGGTCAAACTCTAAGACCAAGGTCAAATTTGATCAAATCGAAGGAAAGGAAAAAGTGTTAAAATCGCATTATATACACTTGTGAAGTTCGAAAGCTCGAGTTTCAGGTACAGAAATAAAGGACTTGTCACAAGGAATACACATGTGAAACAAAAAAAGCCATAAAGCTGGATTTAACCAATCGAGAAGTTATAATATTTGCATACAAACAAAGACAGACGGACCAGAACTATTTACCCCGAATTTTCGACATAGGGAGCAAAAATATACTTCTGATAAATTGATTTTACAGAATGAGTATATTTACTTAAAAAATTTCATGGAAACAATAGTATCAATCACATACTTTTACTTATAAAAAATTGTAATTCGAGGAAGACAATCAGAATATGCTGAAATGCTTTTTTTAAACAACAAAAACTACCGGTATGTAGTCTTTGCATATAAGACGTTAATTCCTCATATTTCTAAGTTTTTCATTGACTTTAAAGGAATTAAGCACGGTTCTGGATTGAGTTCTGCAAAATATAGATATCAACAAGAAATCTGTGAGCCAATGCTCACTAGGAATACCCCCGCTCTGTTGTGTATAAACACTATCATGTTAATATACCCAAGTTCAATTCTGGACAGATGCACAGACAAACAGGAAGTTAACATCGGATTTGACCAAAAATGTATCCCAACGTATGGCATGTGTCAGAGAAGATTGTTTTAGAATTTCTAGCATCTGCAATGAGTAGTTGCTGAGAAAACTGACGAAAATTTTTTATGTATGAAACGGACAGACAAACAGGAAGTTGACATCGGATTTCACCAAAGATTTATCCCATTGTATTGCATGCCTCAGAGAAGATTGTGTTAAAATTTCAAGCACCTGCGACGAGTAGTTGCTGAGAAAACTGCGACGAAAATTTTTTATGTATGAAACGGACAGACGTTCAGACAAACAGGAAGTTGACGTAAGATTTCACTAAAAATGTATTCCACCGTATGGCATGCCTCAGAGAAGATTGTGTTAAAATTTCAAGCATCTGCGATGAGTAGTTGCTTAGAAAACTGCGACGAAAATTTGTTACGGACAGACAGACGGACAGACAGACACACAAGGGTACAACAGTATACCCCCCTCTCTTTCGGAGCGGGGGTATTATAAATTCAATTTTCGTTAATGGAGTACTTTCATAGTTGACGTGCATATGCACGAATTTGAACCGCATTGGATTGAACTATCTTACAAACTAAAATGGCAGTACATGTAGATATATAAAGGCGAAATTGTTGATGCCCTAAAATTCAGGGTCAGGGTCATTAACAACGGTTTTAAGGAAAAGTTTGTTGTTGAAACAGTGAAAAAAAATGTTAGGGTCACACGGCTAGGAATATTTTGAGCTGAAATTATTTTATATTCTGCTCGCACTTCCAAGTTGTTTCGAGTATTTGTTTGTCCGTTGTTATTCTGCTGAAAATTTTAATTAAGTTTTTATTAATAATTTAGAAAGGTGACTGTTCAAAAGCTTTTTTCAACAAGTCGGGTATTATCATAGAATATTGAAAGAATTTGATTTTATAGAATTTATATTTAATTTGAATATAATTAGAATTTATAGAGCATCAATTAATGTGTGTCCATGCCCAATAATCTTTTTTTTTTTTTTAACTTTCTACTACATTTTCTAAAATGTCTCACTTAAAGGTCATGATTTCAAGTCAGTTTTAATTTTTCATATATCAACTATTTTTACCATAGGAGCTTTGAAAATGATTTCATACAAAATGGGTCTTACAGCAGCTTACAGTCCTTTTCTAGAGTACTAAGGTGATCTCTTTTTAAAAAGTTTACCTAGCTAGCCCTATCCCAATTCAGGATGGAAAAAAAATGGATAGGAAGGTACATGTACACGTAGGAGTGAAATTCTGTTTTATTATTTTTTAAATCTAATTGAAGCAAAATTAGCTATTATATGTGAGTGGATGGAGAAAATTTTAAAAAGTAAATGTTTCCTTGAGTTTAAAACTGGTTTTAGTAAGGCCGTGTTTAGTCAGTCGGTCGGGAGAGGGCAAATACAGTAAACATTTTTTTAAAGATGACCCTAGTGCTCTAGAAACAAACATATTTAGAGATTGTCTGAATTATTAAGCAGTGAAAGGCCTGTGGATCCAAATATCCAGCTTTAAGATGTCCTTTCTATACTTTAAACATTTTTGTTAATCCCTCTATTGTCGACACAAATGTTGGAATATTTACTCTCTACAAATGAAACTGTTGTAGTTTATAGTTACTTGATTAAACATTTTTATCTAAAATCTCTAATTCTTTATTTTTGGGGGTCAAGAGGTGTTGGGCACACTGGTAATTGCTATTTTATTTTCCAATTTCTTTTTTTTACAAACTTGTACATATTACATGCAGTAAGGATTGAAATCGGTTTAATTTTTGTATTCTTTAGGTATCACAACGGTAATTGGCCAATCAAAATGAACTTAGTATTTAGTACCAATTTCTTTTTTTTTTTTTTTTACAAACTTGTACAGATTTGTAAGGATTGCAACAGTTTAATTTTTGTAATATTTAGGCATCACACCGGTAATTGACCAATCAAAATGAATCAATTGTAGTTCCATACATATAAATTTGATTTTTCTTTTTGTGAGATTTTTTTCTATTTTCTTCCTGGCCAAATCTACAACTTTGGTACCTGTGCCTAGTAAATTTGTTGTATTTTTTCAATAAATAAAGGTTTTTGACAGGAACTTTTTTCAGGGCATAGGAGACTACTTCCTGTGGTGCACATCGAAATTTTCCGTTCTGAGGTCTCTGGTTTTATCCTACATCTACATGTATCCCAACCGGAAGTTTTGTATTCCATCTCTGTTAATATGTATCGATGTAATTTTCGGGGAATAATTAATTGAGTGGTTTACAGTAAAAATGCTCGACCTGAAACGTTTGAAACAATTTATTTGAAAGATTTTTTTTTTCGAAACGAATGATGCCGTTTTAAAGAAGGTTAATGATTAATATATTAGAAAATAAAGCTTGAAGCTAGGTTGTCTGAAATCGAGTTAGGTACCTTGTGGTAAAAATAAGTAAGAAGTGCCCCGTATACAAAACAAGTGCCTGTGCTCCGTATATGACTATATTTTCACAAATCCAATGTATTAGATTTATTGGGGGAGGGTGCTCTATTTCAGTATTAAATTTATACCCCTATCTCATTTTGTATGAATCGAAAAATAAAAAAAATCAATAAAAACCGAAAAAAAAACTGCAAGTGTAGCAAGGTCATTTGACGATTTAAACATTTCTTATTATCTAGATATGCGTCTTTCTTGTGTAGACTTCTGCCCTGTATAAAAACGTAAACATCACACTTGTGAATGTGTCTGCTGTAAATTATCTTAATATCAATTGGAATTAACTGCAAATTTTACCACATTTTAGTTATTCACGGGGACTGTTTTTCTTTTATTGACAGTAATTCTTACCCTGTTAAGCAACAGCCGGAAAATACATCAGAAGGTAAATATGTTAGGTTTATGCTTACCTCACTCTTAAAGATACATTATTTTTAAATTATCAATTGCTTATAATGATGTAGTTGAAAATTTATATTTTGGTGTCCATCTCCTTTTCCATGTATTTATAACGACATCTTAAGTTCCCCCTGCACAAAGATGGAGTGAAAAAATAAATGCATTGGGAATACGTGAGAATAAAAAGAAATATGTAAAATATATCTCTAGTCTATATGAAAGTCTGAACAAAAAAATCGATGGAGAGAAATAAATCAAAAAAAGAATATGATACACTCATAAACGTGTATGTTGACTATATAAATGGTTTAAAAACAAAGAAATGCACTAAGTACATGTATGGAAAATGTTCTTTACAAACACATTATTTGTGTACAATTTATTAAGACTAATAAAGGTTTTCTATGAAACCTCTGAATTTTTTATTCACGTTTGTACAAGAAATAAGAGAATTTTTTTATGTCTGGAATATGTACTGCGACACGGGACCTCAGTTTATACGATCTCATCCGGAGGACGACCTTCATGTTTATCCCCCCCCCCCCCCCCCCCCACACACACACACAAATTTAGAGCCATTAAATTGACAACTGCTGTGGTCATGCAATAGAACATGTAAAATATTTTGCATGTAATTTATATAAACGACAATTTATTATCTATATTTTAATCGAATATTTTTTCGCATATATACAGACATTTATTTATCCGTTATTTTATTCATTTTTATGATTTTATATCTTGATAGATGATAGTCTGTCCTTGAAAATTATAAACCTAGATTAGTTTTATTTTATTTTATTTTTTTTTTTAATCGTTTTTTATGCTTTCTATTGATTTTGATGTATTTATGTATGCATATCTTTTCAATTTACTATTTATAAATGCCTAACAATTTTGATATTCGACCTGACAGCATTCAACATACATGTATATTTTATATTCTTATTTTCAACATGATTTGTTGTTTATTTTTTGAGTGTTTTTTTCCTCCTCTTCCTTAATAAATATAGATAAAATAATAATTTGACATTTATTCGTAATGACATACGAAACGTACAAGTACTTAAACTCTACAATGATCCTTTCCCACTGATAATTTTCAAAGATATTCTCAATTCAAAAATTCCGATTCATAAGATGTTTTTGTACATAATCAATCAGCATTCGGTAGGCCATAAAAAAATTCCAGATCTTCTTTTAAAGAAAAATTATGATTAAAACACGAGAAAAATTGTTCACCTTTAAAAACATTCACATAAAATAAATATATTTAATTTTCCGTAAAAATGAAGGTTGGAATTGGTTAATAGATGTCTTTATTCACCTTTTAATGAATAAAAGAGTAAATTTCATTTTCAAGTCTATTTTGATTACTAGTAATTATACCCCCCGCTTGAAAAGTTGGAGAGTATATAGTGATCGGGATGTCCGTCCATCCGCGCTTTGTGGTAACCATCTCTTATCCGCAACTCCTCTTTTACATGTAACACGGAATGGAATTTAATGAAAAATTCACAGAATATGTTACATAGTGCCATTGTGACCTCTTATTATGCCCCCGCTTGAAAAGCGGGAAGGTATACAGTAATCGGTATGTCCGTCCGTCTGTCTGTTACGCCTTGGGGTACCCATCTCTTATCTGCAACTCTTCTCAAACCACTGAATGAAATTTGATGAAATTTTCACAGAATCTTTATTACATACTGCCATTGTGCATCTCCTACAGTGTATTTTACTTTTTGATCTGACACATATTTTGGGTTTCCCACAACAAAACATCGACACTCCCATCATATTCATATGGAAGGCGGGTTGTTTCATTAAGTGAGCTCATTGCTCACAGTACATTTAGTTTTGATTTTTGATCGGACACATATTTCAGGTTTCGCGTCGCAGATTAAACCATGGTTGAGTTCGACTTTTCCACCCGGCAAGCAGAGTTGTGACGCTGTTTACGGAGACTAAAGAAAATAAAGACAAGCATGCCATATATGGTTGTGTAGATAAATTATCGTAGAAGACATAGGTATAAATAGTTTGTCAGTATGTAAGTGTAAATGAATGCGTTTCTACAGGAAGAGGGTATTCCGTGTAATTCAGAGTTAGATACCTTGTTCGACAGATATGTCCGATAAAAAGTTGAATAGGAGGTGTACAATGGCACTACGTAACAAACATTCTGTGAAAGTCTCATTAAAGAACTGCAAGTGATAGTATTGTTCCTCCAAGTCAATTTTCAAAAAATAACATATTCGAATGATTTTTAATATTTTTATAGATATTTATATGGATTTTCATAAAACTACTTATTTTGAAAAACAAAGAGAGATAACTACAATTTTAGTAAAATTTGTGTTTTTTCACAATAGAAATCAACAGAAAACATTTTTAAAACATCCCCCCCCCCCCGAAATTTTTAAATAAAATATTTTTAAAAAAATCCTTTTTACAGGTAAACTAGACTTATTTCACAAATTCACACCAAAGCTTTTTGTGTTTCACGGGGGGAGGGGGGCATATGTTTTTAAACAAAAAGCAACAAAAATGCTCATTTTTTCACCAATTTAAAATCGATTTAGAACTAAACTTTGTATTCTAATAATATATATGTTTAATTTTTTGCGTAAAAATAAGAAAAAATATAAGGAATATTTAAGCATATCCAAGACCATTTCAAAATATGTTAATGTTTTAAACTCCAAATTTAATGGAAAATATCGTCTAACCCCCTTTTTCAAGGTCTTGAAATGGGGATAATTGACTATTTAGCGCTGGTATAAAAATAATTAATCAACATTGAACTATAACAAACAATTTTATGGCCATTAATATTGAATTAAACGGGTGCAAAATGTAGGCGGGAATCGAGAGTTAGCGTGTATAGTTATTCTTTCATTCAGTGGTGTAGGAGGACAAACGAACACACAGACGGACGAAAGGACGGATGTATTGACAGTCGGACGGACGTACAGACAGACACTCTGATCACTAAATAATCTCCCACTTTTCAAGCGGGGGGGGGGGTTATAATGACAAGATAAATCATACTTTATAATTTTTAAAAATTTAAACTCCTCTCTTTGTTTCTTGTTGCAGATGAAAGTTAGGCGATGCATAACCAGACTGAAACGAAGAAAAGGCATTTTTATAGCTTTCGTGTTGTTTTTGGTTTTGACAATCAAGTTATTAAATTTCTTTGTTTTCGGCAACGAGAAAATGGAGGTTTTATTGTACCGCATGATAAAATCATACAAAGACAAAGGATTAATTCGATACGAAACAACGCAATCCTTGTGCCAGGATCATGATAATACACCTCTTAAATTGCTCATTATGATATCAAGCAGGATTACACATTTTCATAGAAGAACAGCCTTAAGAAAGTCTTGGATTTCCTTGTTCAGCTCAAATGATACCATACGTTATTCTTTCGTTATCGGACGGAGTGAATCAACAGTTTATAATGATGCTGCAAATACAGAAAGAAATGTCTTTAATGATATCATACTACTTGATTTAGAAGACACAGACGACAGCGAAGCTAGCAAAACCATAGGTATTTTGAATTGGACACATAAGAATTGTGCAAAAGTGCAATATTTACTGAAGATTAATGACGACACCTTTCTAAATATTTATACATTAAATAAGTATCTTAAGCGCAACAAACAGGAAAATGCAATAATTGGATGCAAAACGGACGGATCAGAAAATGAACATTTTCTTCAAAAATATTTATTTAGACATTTGTATTTCTCCACAACTGTTCAAAACGTACACCCCGTCTATATCAAGAGTTCGGCATATCTTATCACTGGAGACATTATTTCGAAATTGTATATGGCAACAAACCATGTTCAACATTTTTGTTCAGAGGATAAATATATCACAGGGTTGTGTCGGGAATACATAAAGGCTGAGGCTGTCGGACATTCGGGTTTTAGCTGCGGGTACCGTGATAAAGGACCGTGTGGTTCAAATTTCCGGTACGCTATAACCGGAAATCAGTACTACCCGGATGAACTTGTCCGGATGTGGAAAGAACTAAACAACAGATGGTCAGACTGTCGTTTGATTGATAACTACTGGATCTCGATTGCTTTCGATACAGTAAAAAAATACATGTTTTGACTATTTTATTTTCACTTTTAAACAAGTATTCTGAGACTATTGCATAAGCAATAATGTACATGTCCCCTACCGGGATCCCCTTTTTTCTTTAAGGTGTCATCTTATCAGATCCTTTGAAAGTGCCCCCAAAAATATGGCCATTTCGGTAATTGTCTGATGTCAGTACTGGATTTTCCAAGGCGTGTTGGTCAAGTCGTTCAATACAATTCGTGTGATAACTTGATCTTGGAAACTTCATTCTATCTTAACTATTACTTTGAGAGCATGGGGATTCATGGAAACATGCTAATCACACAAACAAGTCCAAGCATGGGACCTACATGTAATAATAATAATTATTATTATAATACACTACATTTGATCATTCTCTTGTGCATCATTCATGGATGCCCTGCATACAATGTAACAGCAGGAATGAAGCTGATCGGGTTAAAACTTGTCGAACATCCTTATCAAATTAATAGATGATTATTTTCAATGCATACAAAGTCTCTCTACCTTTAGAATTAAACAAATTCCTGACATTGCAGACATTTGATTTATTCAAAGTCAAAATATCCAAGAGAATGATGGTATGTGATAAACTTTTTTATGTTATTATGCAGAGATGTTAGGTATTGCATATGATCATATTTTATTATTTAAAAAAAACATAATATTCTAATTTTTCATTGGTTATATTTATGTATCCAGGAAAAGAACATGCACTTGGATTAACCTTTGCGAGGAGTGGGATGAAAGATATGGAGATAACGAACAGTATTCAAAATCAAAAGTCCATAAAACAATACAAAAAAATGAGGAGAGCAAACACGGACCTCAAAAACATCGGAGGTGGGATCAGGTGTCATCGAGGAGTGAGCATCCCCTGCCGACCGGTCACACCCGCCGTGTGCTCCTTGTCATGATCGGGAAATAACGGAAAAAATCTGTCGTCAATTCCGTGTATAAATAATGGACTAATAAGTACGAAAAACGTCAGTCAGCATTTGATTCAATGATAAATTGCATTATTTTCCTGACAGGGTCATTATATCGACTTTCGTGAAACGAGTTCAAAGGTTAAAACGTGTTTAAAGTTTTTTAAAAGTCGCTCAACGTCTAAAGTCAAAAATATTTAATCCCATTGAAAGGTTTTGTCACACAAAACACCATGTGAGGTATGGAAGCCCTATCATTGTCGAAAATTTATGTTCAAAGTTATAAAGTTTGGTACTTTTAATTGTGTAGAAGTGGGTCAAACTCCATTTGGTGGTATCCACAAAAAGATCTTGTCACAAGGAACATACATATGTATAATAAAAAGCTATAATCCCATCTACTCAAAAGTTATAGGCAAGTTAAAGTTTTAGCAGATAAACAGACAGACAGGGAAAAAATCATCCGACTACGGACCTAGGATAGGATATAAAATACATACCAATGAACATGTGATTTAATAATTGTGGGTAGATTCATGTACTTGATTGTGGTATTGAAATAAAAAAATATTCCTTTTACTCAATCATGTCAATAAATCATTCGATCATGGAATTTCTTGTAACAGACTGCAGAAGAAATTCCCTGGAGGCCCTATGAACTGAACAAACATCACATTCGTTGGGATTTGCATGATGTAGGAAAAACTTGTAGTTTAAGAACTTGTAGTTTAAGATAAAATGTATATCCAAGATTTATAATTTAATCCGCTAAACTGATCAAATACTGTCGATAGGGTTATGAAGTTTAAGATGAAAGATATGGCCAAGATTTATAACTTCATCCGCAAAACTGAGTAAATACTGTCGACCGGGTTATCAATGCACATACTGGTTACACACTCTTCGTTGTTTCTATACACTGTTATGCATAGTATTGTGACAAGCCTTTAGATTGTGGTCTATAAAGAAAAAAGAAACTACCTGAATTATTTGATCACCATGCCGCTTATCAGTACACGAACATATTGCATGTATTTCAAAAAAGGCATAGTGTACAAAATGGATTCGAAGAGGGGTTGCTATAATTCTATTCTAAATTCAACAAGCTAATTCAGAGAATTTGTGTCTCCCGCTTAGGGAAAAAGTAAACCATGCGCAGTTCGGGGGAGGGGGGGGGGGTCGGATTCCCTTGACTGAATTTGTAGAATTATTAAATGTATGCATGTATACTGAAGCAAATAAAATATGCCAATATTGATATAAAAGTTTGATTGCTTAATATTCTTTATTATGTGTAGAGAAGATTCTTTTTATAGGAAATATTTTTATCACACTGTAATGATGATTTTATGAGTTTGTACAAGCCAGACCTCATAAATTTTTCATTTCATATGAATACTATCATTTAGTAACAAAAAAAAAGTATTTCGAAAAAAAAATTAAACCTCCCGGGTTGCGAACCCGGGCCCTCTCACATGAGAAGCGAGAGACATACCACTATACCACGGAGCCGCTGTAAACTAGCGAAAATTATATGCACGGATGAAGTCACATACATGGATATATTCACGTTCGATATTGTCAAAATTTTACACAATGCATGATATCTAATTTAACCGTTATTAAACTGTTCTATTAGATGAAATAAGAATATAAAGTCCACCGAGAACCTGTTTTATACGTAATAACTCTCCTCATGCCCCTGTTCTAAAAACAGCGACGTTATACTAATAAAACAAACGGGGCGGGACACTTTGAGAGGGGTGAGAGAGGTCCTAGGGAGTTTTGGTATAAAATTACATTGCAAAAGCTCAAAATCTTCTTGAAATATCGGCCGGAAATGATAGTGTTTCACACAGACAGAATGTATAAATTTACGACCTTCAACTTTGACTTTTTGGCCTCAATATCAATAGGGGTCTTCCTTCGGCCACAGGGAGTTATTATGTAAAATTTCATTGCAAAAGATCAAACAGTTCTTGAGATATCGCGCGGAAACGAAAGTGTTATAAAAGACAGAATTTGCGAATTTATGACCTTGATCTTTGACCTTTTGACCTCAAAATCAATAGGGTTCTTCTTTAGTCCATAGGGAGTTGCTATGCAAAATTTCATTGCGAAAGCTTAAAGGGTTCTCGAGATATCGTGTGGAAACGAAAGCGTTACAGACAGAAAGACGGACGGACGGACCCAAATTAATATCCCCCACTTTTCAAGCGGGGGACAACAAAAAATATCTTCAAAACCCTAACTGGTCTCATCAACATCAGAATCATTAAAGATAGGTGAACTAGGCGTGCAGAATGCATATAGCATGCATATAACTTCAGATAATCAAAAAATCCTATTCCATTTGTGTGAATTAAGTATTTATTGATTGTTTCTCTCGAGAATTTTTCTCTCATATGGAGACACCACCACTTGCCTGTGGAGAGCTCCAAATTTTGTCCTTATACTCGGCACTTAAGGCCATTGAGCAAGGAGGGATCTTTTTCGTGCCAGCACCTACTGCGACACGGGACCTGTTTATACGGTCTCATCCGAAGGACCGGTCTCTAGGTCCATCAACGATTCGAACCCGCGACGTTAAGATCATTTCCTTACTTTGTGACTGAAGTGCAGACGCTCTAACCATGAAGGCTACCAATTCAAGTATTTAAATAAAGTTCTCGCATTGGATTTTATGAAATTATGCCAACAAAACTTTCCTGAGAAAATAATGTTAAAAAATTATTCTTTTATTTAAAAAAATGTGTTTATCATGGATTTCGATTCCTATAGCAATAATAAACGAGGTGTCATTGTTCTCTAAGACCAACACGTTAACCACTACACTACACAGCTTCAGGTGGATTATGGTATTTAATCATGAATTTGATATGACCTTTGACTTTGTGGACCTCTAGTATTTCTCGAAAACATGCGAATGTTTTGTCATATAAGTGTTCTTTTAAGGTTTAGTAGGTCAAAACTAAATGTTATTATATCCCACGCAACAAGTTGCGGGAGGTATAATGTTTTTGACCCGTCCGTCCGTGAGTCAGTCAGTCAGAACTGTTTTTTTGTCGGCGCAACTACTCATAAACCGCTGCACAGAATTTCGTCAAACTTTGCAGATATTTAGGACACAATGTATAGATGTGCATATTACCAGGAAATTTGGATTCTTTTATTTTTTACGGGAATTTCCACACTTTTACACTTAGAATTTTTGCCATATCTTGAATATAGAGATGATTAGTTTGTCAGCGCAACTCCTTATAAACCGCTGCACAGAATTTGGTCAAACTTTGCAGTAATTTAGGACAGAATGTATAAATGTGCATATTACCAGATAATTCCGATTTCTTTATGTTTCCGGGAATTTCAACTTAGATGTTTGGTCTTGAACAATAGGCCCATGGGCTTTAAAGGTCACATGAGCATCATGCAACAATTTTCCAATGATTGAATTGGGTTCATGTTTTAAACTAGACACCATGGCATTCACAATTTTGAAAGAGGCACCATTCCTCATCATAACTATACACTTAGTAATTTCTACGTTTGGTTACTTAATGTCCACAGGCAGGGTAGGGGAGCAGGAAATGCATTTCAACTAATGAAATATACAGCAATGATCAGTAGTGCCCTACCACACATGAACTCCTGACCCTAGGTCAACAAATTTCAACAAAGGTCAACAAAGCACCCTTGCCTTTAAAAAATTGTTGATTAATACCTAGGAGCAAATTTTAAACAATTAATTCATTTTGCAGTAGATAAGTAGAGCCTCCCCCCTCTATGGTACCCCTGACCCAGGGGCCTTGAAATTCACAATTCTAGAAGAAGGGCCCTTGCTCATCATAGCTATGTACTAGGTAGTTCATCTGCTTAATAAGCTGAAGCAGAGAAGATTTTCAAGGAATTACTGTAATTTCACTATATAATCAACAGAGCCCATCCTAACACCAGAACCCCTGACTCTGGGGCCATAAAATTCACAATTTTGGAAGAGGCATTCTTGCTCATCATAACTATACTTAGTTAGTTTGTTTAATAACCAGGAGCAGAAAAGAAGATTTTCAAAGAAATAATGCATTTTCACTATATAATCTATAAAGCCACGCCCTAGCAGTAGAACCCCTGACCCTGGGGCCATAAAATTCACAATTCAGGAAGACGCATTCTTGCTCATCATAACTATTAGCTAGTTTATTTAATTCCCAGGAGCATAGAAAAAGATTTTCAAAGAATTAATGTATTTTAACTATAAAATCAATAGAACCCGCCCTAACACCAGAACCCCTGACCCTGGGGCCATAAAATTCATAAATTTGGTAGAGGCCTGCTTGGTCATCATAATTATGTTAATTTATTTAATACCCAGGAGCCGGGAAGCAATTTTCAAAGAATTAATGTTTTTTCACTATATAATCAATAGAGCCCCGCCCTAACACCAGAACCCCTGACCCTGGGGCCATGAATTTCACAATTTTGGTAGAGGACTCAATGCTGATTACAATCATACCAACAGTTTGACTGCTTGATATCCAGGAGTAAAGAAGAAGATTTTCAAAGATTGCATTAATTTTAGTGGTTTTTGGCCCCACCCCTCAGGCCCCAGGGGGCAGAGACCATGAAAATCTCAGTTTTTGTTCCCTTCACCCA